CCTTTTTTTATAAATTGAGAAACCAAATTTGCATATATATAAGGAAAAAAAACGCATCTACTGTAAAATAGTTAACGCCAACTGGTTATTCATTAAGTTTTCAACTATAGGTGATCAAATTTTGTGTTGGTCTCATGGTTGTTTATCTGTGTTAGGAAAACAAATCTCATAAATGTTCATGAGACGTAAAGTTTTAATGTGTAGGAATAGCCTATTGTAGAAAAAAACTCATGATGTCTAGTGTTTCCAAACATTTTACCATTAAAGATAGGTTTCCAATGAAAAAATAAGTAGGAATAGCCTATCGTGAAGAAAAATTTTACTTTAAGGAAGACAAAGGCATTAGTAATTGGTGGAGATAATGTTGTTGTAGAAGGCGGAAATCTCTGTGGAAATGGAAAAGACCAAACATGATTAAACACTTCCTTTGGTTGGTCATTCATGACAGAGTGTTCACTAACAAGAAACCCTTACTGCAACAGCTGCCAAGATAAGGAGGAGACCATCGAGCATATACTCCGCAGCTGTAGAAAATCAACAGGACCGTGGCATAAATTCAAAGACAAACTCACTTCCAGCAACCTCACTTCCCCATTTCAGGAATGGCTTCTCAGCAATATCTGCAATGGGGAAAAAGGGGTGGATTTTGGTGTTATTTGTTGGAACCTTTGGAAGCAAAGGAATGAAGAAGTGCTCGACGACAACAAGTTCTCAGAGCAAGGTTTGATTGGACGCATTAAAGCCTAGCTCAACATCATTGAGCAGGTCAATCAACGTGACTTAATTACTACCAATCTGCTGGTGAGGAGTTACAGCAACAGCCAAATCGCGTGGAAACCGCCAGAGGATGGACGGATTCAAGTCCAAGCAGATGGTTCTCTATCACCATCGAGTAACGCTGCTGTAGGTGGTTTGACTCGAGACCATCTCGGTGGATGCAAGCAGGCCTCCATTTGTAACCTTGACAAGTGTACTATTACCACTGCAGAGTTGAAATGCGCACTTGAAAGGTTGAAGATTGCTTGGGAAGGGGGCCACCGGAAGGTGGAGCTGAACCTGGATTCGGCTATTGCTGTGAGCATCATCAAGAACCACCTGGATTATGACCATCACCATGGCACTCTAGCTTGACAGTTTACTCATCTTCTTAATCTTGATTGGGAAGTGAAAATCTCTCATGTGTTTAGAGAGGCTAATTTTGCTGCTGACTACCTAGCTAATAGGGGCCACTATGTAATTTTGGTACACATCGTTTCAATGTGTCCGACCCTGAACTTGGCCACTGGCTTCGCCATGATATCGTGGGTATCTCCCATGATCGTTTAACTCTTAATACGAATTAAACACCACGACGTTGATTTTTCTACAAAAAAAAAAAAAAAAGAAGGCGGAGGCAGAGCGATCACAAGAAATTCAAAATGAAATTTGCAATAATTGTTGACATCGAGTAGTAGCAAATAGTGTGGTTGTTTTATTAAATTTTTAAGAGTAAATTTCCTTGCGTGCTTTTGTTTTTGACTTTGAGCAAGGACTTTAGTCAATAAATGGGGTCATCATGTTGAAAATTATATGAGTATGATATTTCCAGTAACTAGATGATTTGAAAATTTTATGCTATGAAATAAAACATGTCTTACTTCAGACAATTATTAAGGTTATTTATACTATTATCGAAATTCATTCGACCAATGGACTTATGCTATGAAATGAAACATATCTTACTTCAGACAATTACTAAGGTTATTTATACTATTATCGAAATTCATTCCGTCAAACGGGCGGGTCCAAACCTAATTTAAGTGATAGCCAAACACTCCAAACTTCCCTTACCTTTCTTACCGCCATCGTGGCCCTCCATCAACACGCTCCGCTTCTCCTTTTTTTTTTTTTTTTTTTTGAAAGTTGCTTCTCCTCTACACTGCTGCAGTTGGCATGCAGTCCTATAAATTTTATAATTAGGATAATAGTTAATCAGATTTTAATTGGTTGTACTTGTGTGTTTAGGTGATAATAATTGTGTGCTAGATTAAATTGTAACCAAGTTCTTTTTTTGTCTTTTTGTGAATGACCCTGGACACCATTTTTCACTTCGCCGCAGGTGGGTAGTGGTGGCACTGGCGGCAGCCGGTAATAAGATTTTAATCGTGCAAACGTTTTTATTTTACTCGTTTAGAATAAAATACATTCTAACATTAAAAAAATAAAAGGATAAAGACAGTAATTCTAATTTTAAATTTAGGATGATTTAAATAAAGTTATGACGACGTTTAGCAATTCCCGTAGTGTAAAGTAAAACCATATCATACATCAAACAAGTATATAGAATTTAGCGATTCCCGTAGTGTAAAACCATATCATACACCAAACAAGTATATAGTAAACTATTCAAATTCTTATAGCAAATCCATGAACAATAGTGACAAATTGTACTACTTGGTGTCTAATATGAAATTCAACTCACATTATTAGTTAGGGGTCGTTTGGAAGTTGCGAATGTTAAATCGTTACATTGTAAAGAATCACCATAATATAAATGCATGTATTGATACAATGGATGCATTTTAACAATACATTGTTTGGTTGTTGAGATTCTACTTCATGCATTGATTTGCATAAAGTTACTTTTATGGGGAAATGCCACATTTACCCTCAACTTTTAGAATAAGACAAAAACTTTTAGGGATATAAATGGAAAGAAAAAGTTGACACAAATCTAAAACCAACAATCACAACAATCTCAACTTTTAGTTGAGATTGTATAATGCATCATTTTTTGTGATTGTTGGTGGGACCTACCTAAAACAATACATGCATTGTTTTACACTTTGACACTTCCAAACATTGTATTGTGCATAATACATGTATTCAACAAACACAACTCTAACAATCACAACTTCCAAACGAACCATTAATATATGATAGGTTTCAAACACTAACACTTTACTTAATATTCCTCCCTGATGCAAACTACTCGAAAATCTCCAGAATGGCAGCGCACTTGACACCAAAATACAGCTCTTCGTAGAGGTCCTCGATCACCTGGTTGTTGCTGATCCAGTGATTGCTACACTCGTACGCAGGCCACAACACATGTAACTCAAGAGGGGCGGAACCGTAAATCAGTGAGCGAGCCAGCACCCTCTTAGTACTCATACCGTACAGAACCTCAGCAACTCTCTTGCTGTTATCGCAAAACGCAAAATGGGAGTGCTCCAAGACAAGAGGCAAGTCAGCTCCTGGAAATTAATGGAAAATGACAAAATCATATCAAATCTCACCACAAATAAACGCGAGCAAGGAGAGAAAATAGTTCTACAGTTGCCGACTTAGTGACTTACATAGGAGGTACGAGTCGTCATTTCGATCTTAGAGCAGGTGGAGAAGAAGAAGACGATCTGAAAAAGAAAAAAAAACGAACAGGAAATGATTATAAACAGCAAAAACCAGATAGTAAGAAACTAAACAGATCTAGATTCTACACTAAAACTAACTCCGCCGCCGCAGACTGACGTCGCCGGAGAGAACCAGAAATGGTTTTTGACGGAGTTCGGCGGTAAGAAAACCAAAAAAGAAGTTGCAACAAAAACTAAAAAGATCTATCACTCTATACCACACCGAATCCGTCTCCGCCTCCGACCGACGTCGCCGGAAAAGAAACCAGAATTTTTTTTGAAACAACCGACGATTGAGTTCATCGGGAAGAAAAACAGACGAAAAAGTTGGAACAAAAGCACACTATGACAATTTAGCCGGAGAAGAGACGACGGGAAAACCTTTGTTGCTTTCTGACGAAGGAGACGAAGGAGGTGACTGTGGTTTTGAAGAGAGAGCGAGTAAGCGTGACTGACAGTAGATTTTTTTGGGGCTGAATTACACATTTGGTCACTCGAATTACATAAACATTTCACGTTTGCCACCCAAATTAATTTCCTTTCAATCTAACCACTCACTTTACGAAACGTTACACCGTTGGTCACCCTCCGTCAGTCTCCGTCAGACTCCGTTAACGCCGTCAGATTTTTGATGACGTGGCAAACGGAAGTGCTGACTGGGCTGACAGAGAGGCTAAAAAAGACGGCACTAGGGTGCTGAAGTGGAATGGGAGGGAAAAATAACCCTTTTCCCCCATTTTCAAATACTTTTAGCCTCTAGTGCCGTCTTTTTTAGGGGTCGTTTGCTTGTTGGATTTGAAAAATGAAGGTTTTGTGCAACAAAAACCTTGGGATTCATGAGAGATTTATTGTATTATGGATTTGAAAAGTCTAGTGTTTGCGTGATAGAATTGATAATGGATTTATGATGGATTTGTCACTTAAGCAACTAACAACCATCATGGATTTACAAATCCCAAACAAATATGTGGGATTTACAAGTCCGTGGGGTCTACGGATTTGGTCCCAAATTAAAGACCAAATCCGTGGACCCCACGGATTTGACACCCATCAACAAACAATGGACTTGTGTTAAATCCATCAAACTTGGGATTTAGGTACCAAATCCATGACCCAAATCCAACAAGCAAACGACCCCTTAGCCTCTCTGTCAGCCCAGTCAGCACTTCCGTTTGCCACGTCATCAAAAATCTGACGGCGTTAACGGAGTCTGACGGAGACTGACGGAGGGTGACCAACGGTGAAACGTTTCGTAAAGTGAGTGGTTAGATTGAAAGGAAATTAATTTGGGTGGCAAACGTGAAATGTTTATGTAATTCGAGTGACCAAATGTGTAATTCAGCCTTTTTTTGGGTCTCTAATATAGAGGAAGAGAGGAGAGAAGGAGGGAATTAGTTTTCTATTTTGTTTTTTCAGTTTTCATTTTTCATTTTTTGGGGCTTAGTTACCTTATATGCCCTTTGGCTGAACGAATGAAAGGGACGAATTCTGGAATGTTCCCCCTAAGGGTGACAGGGCCCATGGGTAAAATACTCGGCTGCCACGTCACCCGGACACGTCACCCCGACCCAATCCAAACTTCACGGCGAAACCTCTCCTTCCCGCCGTGAAGGTCATTTTTCTTGCTCCTACGCTTCTCCCTTCTTCTCCTTCATTTCGTTAGGGTTTCAGCTGATCTCCCAGCATTCCCCGACCGTCATCCTCCGCAATGGTTTCCGCGAAGCAGCTACTCTCCACTATCGAGTTCACTCTGATGATCGCGCCTTCGTCTCCATCGCCTGCGCAGAGGATGGAACTCCTCTCTGCCATTCGCGCATCTCTGCCTTCCTCCTCGGTTACCCGGTACTTCCGTCTCTATTTCTGACGAATTACAGCATCGCATACTTGATTTCGTTTCGAAGTAGAATCCTGTTAATCTCTCGAGCCGTTAAGTTAAATTTGGTGGAAATCTGCTTTCCCCTTTCTGTAGCCTCCGAAGCAGTACCGTGCCCAAGTTCAGTCCAAGGAATTTCGGCTGCTGGATTCACCACCAATTTCACTAGATGATCAGGACGTGCAAATTGTGTGTTCTGGTTCTTTGTTGGGTATCTCGGAGAATTCTATTTCGTTTGAGTTAAACAGATATTTGCTGTGCTTGTACGAGCAGAAGTGTCTCTTAATCTTTTGCACTTTTTGAATAAGCATTTCATGCTCTGTTGGGATTCTCATTCCGAGTTAAGTTTTGCTTGTGCTAGCCAGTACCAAATATATGCATTCTGTGTCCTTACTTGACATTCAGCTATGCGTTGTACTGTAGGCCTTGAAGTTGAGTGATGATCTCCATCTGAATGAGATAGATGCTGTTCAGTTGATTGTATCTGCCAACAAAGAGGTCTGTTCTTATCAGTTGCTTTAGTTTTGTGCTTTCTCCTGTTGTCACTGTTACACAAAATGCAGGTCGTATATCTTTGTTCATGTTGGTGTTTTTGTTCTTCTACTTATAGTGGTGTTTGATGGGACGAGAGCCATCAACTTTGCGGTGGACTTTGGTATACTGAGAGACGAGATCTACTAACAGCACTCTATACACTGTTTACAGTATCTCTCGTCTACTTCAAGTCATTTTGGCAGCTCGATGTGATTCCGAAGCAACTAAGTTTCCATGTCCTTTCTCTTTCCCAGGCTTTTGTTCTTGATCAGGATCTTCCAGCAAAACTTCTGTCAGAGATTCAAAAGCATTTGGAAGATCTGATCAATGGTGGTCTTAGGCAGCGCCGCAGCGGTTAATTTCTCTAATAAATGTTTGACGCATCAATTTTTTTCTTGATATTATACGAGTAACCGTATGTGAAACATCTAAGTGAAGTCTTCTTGATATTAGGAACTAAATCGTGAAGAACCAGCTGGTTTAGGTGAACCTCGCAGTGAACCCTATGTTCTTGATTCTAGAGGCGCCCTTGTTGAGCGTCGAGCGGTTGTCTGTAGGGAGAGACTCGTGTTGGGACACTGCCTTGTCCTTTCAGTTCTGGCCATTCGGACAGGTAAGTTAATATATTGTTATTGTCATAAACTTTTAGTTTTTTCTTCTTCTATCCATTTGTTTCTTTGCTCTTTCATGTTTGGTTAAGTTTTCATGGTGCATGCGTGACTGTTTGAACTTGGAAGTATAGAGAATCTCCTCTTCCTGCTGGAATTGTTGAAACATATTGAGTCTCCATAGCCCTTTTATTGTTCTACTATCCTTGTTATGCCAACCAAGTTGAGTATTTTAACCCCTCAAAAGTTTCCTTGTTATTGAGAGTAGAAACACCACAGTAGCTTTTTTGATGTGGTAGTTTTCCTATAAAGATGGTTCCAGTTGTAGTTGTCGGAGTTTGATTACTGGGTAGATTGGCACGGAAAAGCATAGTAAAGCACAAGCTCTTATTATTCACTTATTTTCAGGTTCAAAAGACGCCAAGGATATCTTTCAGGTTTATAAAGATAGCGCTGCTGAACTTACGGAGGACAGTAGCACATTGAAACGCCAGGTTTGGCTCTTTCTTTATCATTGCTTCTGAAATGTGGATTCTGTTTTCACTATTTACTAGCTGATGTATCTTTATTGGTAACCAAGCTGATTGCATATATAATCTGCATGATTGCATGTTTCCTGCAAAATTAAATGTACCTTAAAGTTAGGTTCAATGTTTGTCTATATGCATGTATCACTCATGGAATTTTATCTCATATCTTGGAACTAGGCTGCTGCTGGGTTAACATATTCTTCTGTCTTCCCTCGCTGCAAATAACATTGAGTCTTTTCTTCAGTTTTTTCATTACGGTTGTATCAGATGCCCTTAGTGCAGTCTCTGAAATGGCACCGCTACTGGCTCGTAATGCCACATTTAGGAAAGAATTCGATGAAATAGTAAGACAAGCAATGCCTTTTGAAATTAAAGCTCTACAGATGGGCATTAGTTAGAAAAGTGTTTGGATGATGTGAGCCTAATTGCACTACTCTGTAAACGTTGAAAAGTGCATCTGGGTACATCAAGCCATATAGCACTACTCTGTAAACGTTGAAAAGTCTTTGGATGATGTGAGCCTAATTGCTCCTCTTGCAGTTGTTTCTGTTAGTATGAATCTGGATTCAAGCTTCCTGACCTAGTTCTGTTGTGTCTATAGTTCATAGTCAGTGTGTTGTTCTGTTAGAAGCATCTTGTTGTAAGTTAATTGATCTTCTGAATAGTTTTAGGCATTATTGTGTACTCATCTTCAGGAAATTTATAGTCTCCTAAGTTCCGGTAGAGAATTTTTTTTGTCTTTGCTCTTCAAGGTTCTCTAGGTTACTGTGTTTCTGCTATTCATTCCCCCAGTTTTCTGACGCTGATTAGTTCTCTCTAGGTAGCATCTCCGCCTCTCTGATTTAGCCGTGGGATATCTTAACCTTGCGGGAAGATATGGGAGTATTCCGAGCCTGTGCCAGTTCATTCACTCGTCATGGTGGCCTGAAAATTCATACAATGTTGGATCGGCGGAATATGGACTGCACTTGGTTAATTTACGTATGTGCCCCTGTCTCAAAACGGGGAACATTCCAGAATCCAGATGGCCGGTCCAGGGGCATATCCGGTAAAGCCCCAAAAAATAAATGAAAAAACCCGCATAAACAATTAATTCTCTCCTTTTCTCCCCTCGCCCGGTATATAATGAGAACAGTTTCAAATTACTCAAATAACACTTAACAATATAAACAAACATATATCACCATTATAAAAAAAACTCGATCTGGATGATTTTTTTTAAATCATTTCTACTCTTTTATACACCCAATTAACCTGAATGTCATACTGATTACATGCTTTTTCATTCCAATTCAACGACTTTGTCAACAAATAATGAACACTGATATGCTAGAATTGAGTCTGTGGTTGAAAGGGAAGACCCCAAGGTTGCTAACTATTGCTTGGAAATGCACAACTGGATTCCTATTGGCTTAGTGGAATCGAATAACATGTCAAAGCACAATAAATTGACAAAACAAGAAAGGGGAGAACGTGACAGTGGAAACATTACCATCAAACCTAGACATTAAGCTCACGACAGCTGCATTAAGCTTTTGATAGATAGATTTATTTATTATTAAGAGAAAGGGATGCTGCGAAAGTTCAAGACCAAGTGGTGTGAAAGGAGATAGCTAAGCTAAGCCCAGATTATTGTATGTTGTTTTGTATTAATTATTGAAGAGAGGTTACGTTTGTCCTGTGGTGAGAATGAGATAGCCAAATCTCAGCCTCAAATATGATTCTGCTAGATGATCTTAAATGAAAGGCTGCAAAGGGTGTTGAAAGAATCAAAGCTTTTTAATTGAGATTTTTCATTTTTGGTTATGTGGGGAAAGTTTGGGATTGAAAATGAAAGGGGAAATAATTATGTAGTCCATGTATCCACATCTAGCATGTGGGTGGTGATGTAGCTAGGGACAATCGTAAGAAGAATTATTTTAAGTTCTCACATTTTTAACATTAACCATTATTTTGAGCACATCATATGGTTTGAGGTTTCCAACTTCCAAGCTCTATGTTGTTGAGGAACTCTGTAAAGATCTTCCAATATTTTCTACATTTGAGTCCGAGATTATATTCCACGCTGAGGTTTTGTGTTTGTGGGATATGGTGAATATTACAGACCAACGGATCTGGTCAGTGGCGTAGCTAGACTCTCAGTTTATTGGGGCCTTAAAAATTTACTAATACTAAAACATGCGTATCTAATGAACTTTGACTTGAATGGGGTCCTTAGTTGAACTAACATCAACGAGATCATGGGGTCCTAAACGTGAAGAATCATACTAAACCCCATATTTTTAAAGGATTTTGTTGTTCAATTATTTACCAAGAAGTGGGGTCCTAGGACCCCACTCCTCCACCTCCCTCCGCCACTGGATCTGGTAGTCGATAATTCTGTGCAAACTTCAAGTCCATATATTGGTTGTCGTTTGAGAGGAATGAAAGCAAATTACATACGAACATCTCTCTGATCAACAACTCAAATGATTGAAACCGATCGGTTGCTTGAGGTGTATTAACCCCGTGCATCCCAAGCTACGAGTTCACAGTGCCCTCAAATTACAGAGGATACAGAGAGCGCATATTTGAATCTATTTTCTTTTTACATGTCTCTGCACATATGATTTCACAATTTTTTCCTCTACCCGATATATAAAGATTTATTTCAACTATGTATCCATAAATCGCTAATGGGATTGATGGTTATGATGACAACATGAAGTGGACATTTTGAGTCAATACCATCTCTAATTAGAATTATTAAAACACAAGTCCTTAAAAATTACCATAAAAGTGAGATTACCGTTCCTTAAGAAAAAATCGGAATTTACTGTTCACTAAAGGATTTTATAATCACATGTGGGCGTTTTTTTTTTTATAAACCTGAGTACACCACATTAGACAAAGCAAGTTTGGCCGTTGATTGTACATAAAAAACGGTGACAGCTCATGCCCGCTACCTTTTTTTGCGGGCATCCCTTCCTCTATTCGTCGTTACTTTTTGGCCATTGCCATTCACTTCCTTCCCTATCTACAGTATAGACCCATCAAACAATCAACCCCTCTCTCTCTCCCTGTCCCTCTCCCATCCCTATATTAAGCAAACCCCACAACTGATCGCCATCATCATTCCCACTCTATCAAGCCTCCTCCTCCTCCTCTCTCTCTCATTTGTTCATAGTCAATTAAATGGGTATGAAGGGGTCGTTTGGAAGTTGCGATTGTTTTGTTGAGATCGTCATTATGCATGTATTGTTTACAATGCATCGTTTTTTTTTTTTATTTTTTTAGCAGAAACTGTTGGGGGTACTACCCATCAAGTAGTGGTCTGGGCCTCCAAGCAACAGAATTGGAGGGCAAGGCCCGTGAATGGGTTTGTGAGGCATCTCTAGGCCCAAGCAAGATGAGGGGCGCATGAGGACAAAACACTAAAAGCCAAGGGAGACCAGGCTGTCAAGTGGTCCATCGCCGGCAGGCGCCTGTCAACGCGTCAGAAGCCTGACAAGGCAGTTGAGATATCTGACAAAGAGGGTACAAGGCATTAAATGAGGACAGTGACGTGGAAGAGATCAACCTCGAACTCGGTAAGTATAAATAGGGGCAGTTGGTAGCATTTACACAGGTTGGACTCTCTCACTAGAACTCTTACTAAAAGGATTTCCCTCTCTAAGTCACTAACTTGATCGTCGGAGGGCTAACGGGCCTAGGCGCCCCCCTCTGAGCTCGTATGTGTAGGAAGGAATTGGACGCGGAGGACGAGGACGCATTGTCGGGCGTCGTGGCACAAACAATTGGCGCGCCATGAAGGGGAATATAACCAGGAATCATGAGTGAGGAGGCGCCTATGAGCGAAGAGAGAGAGGAAATTACAGAGGAGGAGTCTGAGCAGATGAGAGAGTTGACGCCCGAGAAGGACGTCAGCGAAGAAAGTGGTGGCATGTTTCAAAGATCGGAAGACGCCTCGGTCACGAAAAAGGAGCTATTTAGGATCATCGAAGATCAGGACGAGACAATCGAGGTGCTGCGGCGGGAGGTTGACGCCTTGAAGAGGGGTGAAGGAATGACGCCTAGCTCGATTTCGAAGAAGAGGGAAAGGGTAGTGGAGACAGAGAGCGAGTCAAGGCATTTTTGGGGCGCCTACCACGCCACTGCCCCGTGAGGCAGCCCCTGGCGCGTAATATATTGGTGGAGCCCACAGTGACCAACATTCCCCCACTTCCCACTTACGACGGAACGGCGGACCCAGATGATCACCTGAATGGGTACTTCACCAAGATGCAGCTTTACAACAGCACGGACGCTACTTTGTGCAAAGTGTTCCCATCGACATTTGCGGGCGTGGTCCTCGACTGGTACCACCAAATCGAAGAGGGACGTATTGACTGCTTCGAGCAGTTTGCATCAATGTTTTTGGCAAAGTTCGCCAGCAGGAAGTGCCGCTCCCTGACCATATGCGCCTTGTTCAAGGTCAAACAAAGAGATGGGGAGGCGCTGCGAGAATTTTATGAAAGGTGGCTGTCAGTAGCCTTGGAAGTGAAAGACGCCCATCCGTCGGTGTTGGGAGTATGCTTGAACGAATGTACCACCAGCGAAGAACTGTGTAGGGCGCTGGCAAAAAGGGACGTGGTGTCCACGGAAGATTTGGATCACCGGGTACAAAAGGTGATAATGCTCGAGGAAACCTTGGTAGCCAGAAGGGCAGATAGGCGGAAAACGAGGGGGGAAGAAGTTGAAGTGACAAGGAGGCCGCACCTCCCGAATGGTCCAGGATATGCACCCGTGAATCACCCACCACCAAAGAGAGCCGATGTGGGGCGCCCAGCGCCCAGGGGAGCGGGAGCCTTCGCTGAGTATAATGACACACTGAAAAACATACTCCAGCACGTCAGGGAAAAGGGGACAGCCCAATGAATGGAACCTGGATCGATATTGTGATTTTCACCGGGAGATGGGGCACCACACCGCCGACTGCTATCAGTTGAAGACCGAGCTGCAAGGTCTGGAAGATAGAGGAATGCTTAGCGACTTCGTCAAAAAACCTGAAGAGAGGGTGCATCGGGCGTGCGTGGCCGGCGTAGAGAGAACGAAGGAAGAACTGCCCCCCCCCCCCCCCCCCCCCCCCGCCCTATGACCTCGACCAAGAAAAGGCGCCTGAGAGAGTGCGCCTCACCATTGAGGCCATTTCGGGAACGATAGACTTGGGGGAGAAGATAGAGGCAAACCACCGGCTGAGAGCGACATCTGCCGAGGTGGAGGAGGCGATCAATATCAGTTTTAATAGGGTGCCAGAGGAGGCATGCATGCTCCCGTCCATGGATGCCTTAGAAATACAAGGAGTGGTGGCGGGATGCAAAGTGAGAAGGATGCTCGTCGACACGGGGAGTTCAATGGACGTGTTGTTCAAGGATACGGTAGGCCGTATGCAACTGTCGCCAGAACTGATCAAGCCATCGGAGTCGGTGCTGGTCGGCTTTTCGAGGGCGCCCGCCAGGGTGATTGGGCGAGTGTGTCTGCCGGTTACCTTGGGCGACGGGGAGCAAAGAGTGACGCGCGCCATTGACTTCAGAATAGTAGACTACTCATCGCCGTACAACGCAATTCTGGGAAGACCCCTTCTAGCCTTGTTCAACGGAATGGCCTCTACTTGTCATCAGACCTTAAAGTTCATCGCTCCGCAACGTCTGGGCGTAGCCCGGGGACGTGGCGCCCCGCGTTACGCAAAGGAAGCAGGGAGGAAACGAAGATGCACCGATGAAAGGGTCAACGTGGTGGAAGCTGAGGCACCCCGAGCCGAAGCGGCCGATGATGAGCTTTTAGTGGCGTTGGATGAAGGGCGTCCGGAAAGGCAAGTAAGGATATCTGCAAAGGCGCCAAGTGAAATGAAAGAACGCCTCATCGCTCTTCTAAAAGAGTTCGCGGAGCTTTTTGCATGGAGTGCTCTGGAGATGCCGGGCGGTCACCCCGGAGACGGCCGTTCATAAGTTGGTCG